ATGTGATGTGATAGTCATGAGTCCTCTCTTTTGATTATTCGATCTCCACATATTTGTTGTAATGTCAATTCTACTTATGTTGGTGTCCAACAACTTCATTGTCTTCTCCCTCTCAATTTCAAAAACTTTAAATATATCTTTCTTGATAGTGTTTCGAGAACACACCCTAAACCAAATTTAGAATATGAGTACAACACCACAAGTGGAATAACGTCCATCTAACATAAGTGAACTGGAGCAAATCTTATCGAACACTATCACAATTATGGAATAATTTATAGAACAATTATCTATAGATAAGATAGACAACTTACGATTAAGATTCCATTCGAACATGGATTCCAATAAAGCATCAGCAAGTACCTCCGCCGTGTGTGGACATGGAACATATATAAACCTACAATAGAAACCAAATAAGTCACAATCTAATTATTTTTTAAAAAAAGTATTAATAATTCAAATAAGAATATTATAATAAATGTACCTTATTAGTCGGCTTTGTAAATTCCATGCATCATCAATGAAATGTGATGTGATAGTCATGAATCCTCTCTTTTGATTATTTGATCTCCTCTCTTTTGTAATCCTCTCTTTTCTTGATAGTGTTTCTAGAACACACCTTAAATAATGGTTACAAAGCATTGGAATACATCTTGAATCCAATATAATCAACCATGGATAATGGATATTCATGAAGAATAATCATATTTGCAAGTGTCCTCCTAGCATGGCCGTGGTCAAAATTATAAGTACCAAGCTTGATGGTCCCATCACTTGACTTTGTAGGATTCAACATTGATTGATCTATGGTTCTTTGTGTTTTATAAAGACAAGACTTTACATTATCAAGTAAATGTCTAGTCTCATTCTTGCAATTTGCACCTAAGGTATTCTTACAATGAATGCACACAACTTTCATTTGACCACAAATTTCTTTCTTTTCAAAATGTTCCCAAGCAGGAGATCTACCTTTCCTTTTATTCACAGCATCTTGAGTTGAACTGGTGGCTTCCGTGTTGTTATTTTCACTACTACAAAAATTGAAATAGACGACGGGGAAACGCCGTCGTCTTTTTCTTTTTCAAACCGTCGTTAAATCGACAGTCGTCTTTTTGAAAGTCAAACTACGACGGTAATTCACCATCGTCTATTATATGTAAAAACGACGGTTTTTAAAAGAACCGTCGTCTATTACATGTAAAGACGACACTTTTTCTGAAAAAACCGTCGTCTATTTAATGTAAAGACGACACTTTTTATGAAAAAACCGTCGTCTATTTAATGTAAAGACGATACTTTTTCTGAAAAAACCGTCGTCTATTTAAATGTAAAGACGACACTTTTTCTGAAAAAACCGTCGTCTATTTAAATGTAAGACGACACTTTTTCTGAAAAAATCGTCGTCTATTTAAATGTAAAGACGACACTTTTTATGAAAAAACCGTCGTCTATTTAATGTAAAGACGACACTTTTTCTGAAAAAATCGTCGTCTATTTAAATGTAAAGACGACAATTTTGTTCCAAAAAATCGCCGTTTATTATCTGTAAAAATGATGTACTAATTTAATTTTAGATATCCTAAAAAATTATTTCTTTCATAAAACTTGAAGATTCAATTGTAATTACATTGTTTACCAATCTTGATTCCTACTATATCCATACAAAATACCATATTTATAACATTATAACCTATAATTACAAAATACCATATCCAAAGCATTAACCTATGGTTGTTGTATCTTCCACAATTTGTACTTGTTCTCCACATTCAGC